AAAGCCTAGGTCAAACAGGACCTAACCCAAGTCAAAGTCAAACCTGTTCAGTCAATTCACAATCTTCAACAATTAAATTCAAACAATCAATTTAATTCAATTAACCAATTTAGCCAAATTATAGCATAAACACATATAACGATCCAAACCATTAAATCTATTCTGAATGCTATTAACTTCATAGTACGGACCTGGATTACGTCGAAATCGAATCGATAGCTCGAACGGAAGGCAAATCGACGAAATCAACCGAACGGGTCAAATCGAGTCAAAGTACGAAATTGACCAATCAATCCGGCGTGGAGGTTAATCTGCCGGTGATATCAACTCGGGGCAGCGGCCGGATGCGGCGACGGTGACGGACGCCGGCGACAGTGGCGCTGGGCAGCGACTGGCGGCAGACGACCGGCGAAGGTGAATCGGCTGCTGGAAGCTCGGCGACGGCGGCGGCTGGAGTCTCGGCGACGGCGGCGCTGCGCTCGACGGCAAGGAAGGTCGCCGGCAGTGGAGGCGACGTCCGGCGCTCGATGTGGCGGCGCTGCAATCCGTCGGCGAGGCTGGGGAAGGCGACGCCGGCGGCTGGCGGTTCCAATTGGACGGCGGCGATGGCCTCTGGCTTCCGGCGGCGAGGCTAGCTTGGCGACGGCGGCGCTGCAACTCAACGGCAGCGGACGATGAGCGACCTGGTGCGGCGAGATTGGAGAAGGCGACGGCGGTGATGGCGGCGACTTCCGGCGGCGAGCGACTGGCTGGCGGCGATGATGGCGGCGACTTCCGGCGGCGAGGTTGGCTGGGCGGAGAAGAGAGAAGAAGAAGGAAGGAGAAGGAAGAAGAAGAAGAAAGAAAGAAAGAAAAAGAAAGAAAGAAGAAGAAAGGACGGACGAAAAGATAAGATATATGTGGTTAGGTTTATTTAATGGTCCCATTTCAAAAAGGATTGGGCTTCGGACCCAAAATACCTGATTAAATTGTCATAACTTGAGCTCTGTAACTCCGATTCGCGAACCGCCTGAACCGACGCGATCAAAAAAATATTTCCTACGAGATGACATAAAAGTTGGGCTTAAAATCCAAATTATAATTTTAACCCCTTATTGGGCCCAATTCGTAATTAATTGCCCTAACAATTTAATTAATTCTTTTGGGCCTGATTTCGGGGCGTTACAGTCTAGGTCCTGCCTCTCTAGCACTCAAACTTGCCTTGAGGTCATCCACGTCCTTCTCCGCCTTTGCCATCAAGTCGTATGCCTCGGAGAAGTCAATGGTGGTCATTATGGATACATATGATCGGACGTCAGGACGTAGTCTCATCCGGAATTCTTCGATCCGATCTACTGGTGTGGATATCAGCGTAGGTGCAAACTGACCAGGTGCTCAAACTTCTATCGTAGCTCAGCAAGGGTCATGAGCCAGGTGCTCCATGATCTCTGTCCACTTCTCTTCCCAGAAGCACGCTAGTATGTATTCCTTCCTAAAGGCCCAGTCAAAGTAGGCCCATGTCCACAACTTCCACGTCCTTTTATCGTAGTCTTTTTTGGAATTCTTCGATCTGATCTTCCTGATTATTATATCTCTCATTTTTTATTTTTCACGATTTATTAAATTATGTATCAGGTTAAAGGATGCTTCATTTGGGATGAAGATCGTAGAGTGATATTAACGAGGGTGGGAGAATTTACATAGGAAAGATAAGAGTCATTAATTTTTTGAATGGAGCGTCGTAAGGATCCTATATTTCCAATGTCATGGGAGTCCATTGGTGGTGGTAGTAATGATGATGATGATTATTATTATTATAATTATAATAAAACATTTGCATTATTTTTCAATAATTTTAGCGATTTATCTTATTTAATGTAAATAAATACTCCGTATTATCAGATCTGTTCATATCTAATTAAATATAATCGGATCTGATATAATATAATTAGATCTGAACTGATTATAGCTCGATAATATCTTATCTATTTTTAATAAAAATTACTCCGTAATAAAGTAAAAAATCATTTGATCAGAACGCAGCCCTATTCTAGGGATGCAAACTAATCAAATACTTTAAATATGATTTGTGATCCGTATTCGAATATAATGACTCGAATTCACATTATGTAAATTCAAATACTAGTTTTGACTTGAATATTAAACAAATATAAATAGAGACATATTCGATTCGAGTGATATTCGAATATACGAATATATATAGACATAGACCATGTTTTCAAAATTAATAGTCAAGCAAACTAATAAAGTATAAAGTACATTTAAATTACTAAGATTTTATCAAATTAACGTAATACATAAATCTAAAGTATATATAATATTTAATACTTATATTTTTAAAAATATAATTTACGTAAGAAGCAAATGTATTAATGTTTTTAGATTGAATATACGAAATATTGTAAGTTAATTTATTCAAAATCGATATCTGTCAATCATATAAACTACGAAGTATGATTATTTGAATATTCGCTTAAAATTCTTTAACTATTCAAATATTAATAAAATGCAAATACAAATCTTATTTTTAATCCATTTGATATTTGGATGTCTCGGAAAAAAAATAAACAAATAGTCTTACAAATTTTGCTTAGATTCGATTGGTTAACAACTCTAACCTAGTCCCTTCGTAGGGGTGTAAACGGATATTAATCGGATCGGATGTGTCATTACCAAATTCGTATCCGTTTATTTTTGTCGGATATCGAATTTGGATTCGGATCTTGACGAATACTGAAAATCAAAACTGAATCTGCATCCGTCGGATATCGGTCAGATATAGGATGTATCTGTATCCGTTTCTAATTTTTAAAACAATATTAAATCAACTATAATTTGTTATGAGATAACTATTGTATTTGTTTTCATGATTTATGATATTCTACAATAACTTCATATGATAAAAAGATATACAGAGCACACATACACATAGTTTTATGTGTCTACAGATTTATTTTATATATAGAAATGTCATATACTTTGAAATATCAATAGAGAAACACTATATAAACATAAAAAAATTAAGAAAAACTATAAATAACGGATCGGATATTCAGAAAAATGATTATTTAAACGGAAGCATATTCGGATCGGATTTTAAACGGATTAGATATACAATTACCAAATCCGTATCCGTTTAGTAATCGAATTTTTTAAATCGGATTTGGATAATATCTGTTTAAAACGGATGTGAATATTTAGGGATGCTGACTGTAATGGAATTAAAGCTGGCAAATCGGTCGGTCAAGTTGGGTTCGGGTTCAGTCATTTCAAGTTCGGGTTATTTCGGGTTTGGGTCAATTTGGGTTTGGGTTGAAAACTGTATGTTCATGACCTAGTATCGTCGGGTTTGGGTCGACCCAATGAGTTATGACTTTGGTTTTTTAAATTTTTAAATTCACATTATTTTCTATTAAAGAAATTTAAAATATCATAAAAATGTATTAAATCTATAAATTGTTTTATTTTAAACTCCGAAGTAATTTTTAGATATATAAATCAATATAAGGAATTTAAAAATGCTTAAGTTTGGAAAAAAAGTAAGATAATTATGCACTATCATTTAAACTTTGTCTAAAAATATAAATATATACACTAAAAACGAGTAGTAAAGTGTATGATTTTGAAAAAATTCTAACTTTAACGGGTTGGTCAGGTCGTGTTCGGGTTTGGTCGGGTTTGACCCATTTTTAGCGGATCATTTCGGGTTCGGTCAACTTGGGATTCGGTCATCAAAACTTTTGTTTAAAATGAAGTGTTTTCAGGTAGGGTTTTGAGTCAAAAATAGGTCGGGTCATTTTTTTTGACAGGTCTAAATGGAATTTTCCTAAATCTACATCCCTATCCCTTCGTTTTCTTCCACTCTCTCCCCACTTTATCAGACATCACCGGCAGCGTTTTCTCTGTTTCCACTCACTGTTATCTCTTCTGAGTTCTGATTACGATTTCTTGGATTAAAGGCGGCGGGCAGCTCCACTGAAGTCAGAAGAGCAATCGCGTTACCGGTGAAACATGGACGGCGTTCAGGGAAGCGTTTCCGCGGCGGCGATCGGAAATCCTCCGCCGCCTTTTCTGAGCAAGACGTACGATATGGTGGAGGATCCGTCGACGGACGCCGTGGTGTCTTGGGGCAAGGGAAATAATAGTTTCATCGTGTGGAACGCCCCCGAGTTCGCAAAACTCATTTTGCCCAAGTATTTCAAGCACAGCAATTTCTCTAGTTTCGTCAGACAATTGAACACTTATGTTAGTATCATCATCATCTTCATATGCTTCTCCGTTTTATTTATTTACTTACATTATTAAAAGTATATTCCCTTTTGCACCCTGATTACGTGGGCGGAAGTAGATTAATTTAAACCCTAATCTCTAATTGTTTTACAGAGTAGTAATTTTAGTTAAGGAAATCGTGTTAAATTCATCTCAATTAGATTGTTTGCGAAGAAATTCTACTCTGCAACTCTGCAACTAATAACTTGCAGTACATGATATTTTGTCAATGTGGAAAATACTAATCCGTAAGAAGTAATTGATTGCAATGGAGATTGAATATAATAATTGCTGGAGAGTGGAGAATCATTATTATATTCGATCATGATTCCCCACTCTCCAATAATTAGTATATTCGAAAACTTCAAGAGAAGGAGAAAATGGAACATCAACTTCAACCATTGATGTCTAACCATTGATGTTCCATTTTCTCCTTCTCTTGAATTTTTCGAATATAATAACTACTGGAGAGTGGAGAATCATGATGCGTAATTTGAGATTTGTTAGACATCAATGGTTTTTTCTTCTGGTCGGAACTCTGTTATAGCTTTTATAAGGTATATTTCTTGGTATTCTGTTTCAAAGGACTTCCCATATGTATATTGATGGTTATAGTATCTGTCTTTGTCTTTGGGCAAGCCAGGGGTTCAGGAAAGTAGATCCTGATCGCTGGGAGTTTGCTAACGAGGGATTTCTAAGAGGCAGGAAACATCTCTTAAAGAGTATTATCAGAAGAAAGCCTTTGCATCCGACAATACAACAACCATCTGCACTTCCTCCCCCTCAAGTCCACCAAACTGATCCGGTCAGGTCTCGTGTTGACGGGCTGGAGGAAGAGGTTGGCATGCTGAAAAGAGATAAGAACATCCTAATGCAGGAATTTGTCAAGGTGAGACAACAGCAGCAAGTGATGGATCACCAGCTGCAGAATGTTGGGCAGAAGGTTCATGTGATGGAACAACGGCAACAGCAAATACTGTCCTTCCTTGCCAAAGCGATGCAAACCCCAGGGTTTGTGGCACAGATGGTTCATCAAAAGAGTGATGGCTTGCTCATTTCTGGGGTGAACAAGAAAAGGAGACTTCCAAATCAGGGCGAAGAAAGTTTTAGTGTTAAGCCTGTTGCTGCTGCATTGACTGATGGACAGATTGTTAGGTTCCAGCCTTTAATGAATGAAGCTGCAAAAGCACTGTTGAGGCAAATCTTGAAGATAAACTCATCTGCTCGGCTGGAGCCAAACTTTAACCACACCAGTGGCTTCTTGACAGATAACGCAGCAAATCAAGTATCTGAAGTCAGTCTTTCGGAGGTACTACTAGCAACGGCTCCCACAAGCCCCTATTTGACTTCAGAAATCACTCAGGTTCCGGAGATGAATACAATGCCTGGTTTTGTTGATGACATGGCCCCGGTCATATCAGACGGGTTTTCTCCTGACCCTGAGATTGATGTTTTGATTGACGAGATGCCAAAGCTTCCAGGCATTAATGATGTTTTCTGGGACCAGGTTCTTTTGGCAAGCCCACTCACGGGAGGTACAGATGAGACTAATTCCATTATTTTAGAAGGTGGTGCAGTGAAAGAAGATGATGATCTGACGGAAGAAGAGCTGGAATGGGATACAGTGAAGCGTGTGAATGATCTTACTGAACAATTGGAGCTTCTTGCTTCTGGGTCCCCAAACACTGCGTGACTATGTACATTCCTCCTCTGCATGACCCTAAGGTAAATTTTAAAATGAGCTTATATATTGATCAGTTACCGAAATGTTGTCGGATTTGCTTCACTTTGACATTTGTCTCGTTGGTATTGCACAGGCTAGTTTTCTGGTATGAATAGGAAGAACCTGCTCAAGAGCTGCCTCAGTTTTTTGCTGTCTTTCCATTCCTTTTCCTTGTATATTTCTCCTACTTTTTTTTGGGCGATTTATAGAAAATGTTCCTATGAGAATGCATTTAAAAAGAGATGACTTTCATGGTTTCCTCTCTTGTCAAATATACGAGTAAATCTATATGAGCTCACTCATTCTCTTGAATGATGATTTACCGTCTTTTCTCAACCTTTCCCCAGCCTTCATCCCTTTAGGCATATTTCTTATGTTGTGATAAAGCATTTGGGAAACTTTGCTCCCACAAATTACACTGCGTATTTTTTTAAGGGCACGGTTCTGTTGACACTGGCTAATGGTGCCACTAGACCTCTCCAAGCCCCCCTCCAAGTGTGTGTCTATTGTGCATTGCAGTTTTTCTTGTAACAATGCCCAAAAATGAGTCATTTGAATGATCTGTTCCTTCTTGACTTTGCACGTTTATTAAATATAGAGTATGAAAAACATGACATTATGGATGAGAGGAGTAACAGATGCTAAAGCCATAACACAGATGCCAGATGAAAGTATAATAGAAGAGCAACCAAATCCATGGCAAAAATGAATGGAAAAAAACGAAGATGAAATGAAAAAGCTATGGAAACTTGGGGGAGAGGATCAAGTCCAGGAAGTGTCGAATGCAGCGGAGGTTATGGCCTGAGCGAACTCGGGAAAGTTGATGCAACCATCTCCGTCGGTGTCTGCCTCCTTGATCATCCCCGTCAGCTCCTCCGCCGTCAAGGCATGGCCCAGCTTGGCCATGGAATGCGCCAGCTCAGCGGCGGTTATGTATCCGTTGCCGTCCCGGTCGAACATGTTGAATATCTTCAAGAGCTGCTCCTCCGTGTATGGGCACTTGGCCGGCACGAGCTCCGGCTCCACCAGCGCAACAAACTCGGAGAACTCGATCAACCCGTTACTGTTCCGGTCGGCCTTCTGGATCAACGACTCCATCTGGTCGGCACTCGGGTTGAGTCCGAGCGACCGGATCAGCGATCCCAGCTCCAGCTGAGTCAAGCTCCCGTCCTTGTTGCGGTCGAACGACCGGAAAATCTCCCGCAATTCGGCAATCTGTTGGTCGTCCAGCTTGGCCGCTCCATTTCCTCCCATTTCTTGCCGGAGATCTGTATATGAAACTCTCCGATTCCCCTAAACCTTAACCACGATCTTCCAGATTCTTCTTCTTCTTGTTTTGTTACGTTAGGACGGAGGAGGTGATGATCGAAAATCTTCCGCGATTAATTACCTGCCGCCTGATTAGAAATTAACGGATCGGAAAGGTTACAATACGAAATGAAAATGAATGGGAAACGAGGCGAGCATGATGATGGTGGTGGTCGCGGGTTCGTCGAGGAAGAAGAGATGAATGAAAGCGTCAACCGTATTGGAAGATATATTTGCAGAAAATTTGGAAGAGGAGAGAGTGGCCGCTCGCTCACACGGCGCACTGCTTGCTTGGTCCAACAATGACGTGCTTGCCTCGTCAAAAAAACAACTCAAAATGTGGATAAATGGCAAGTCTTCGTTATTAGTTTAAGAAAAAATTATCTCAAATAATCCCACCTTTTCGTGCTCTTTCAAAAATAATCTTACTTTTCACTCTCATAAAAAATAATCTCACATTTCTACCTTTGTGCAAGTTTTGGGTCGCCGTTAAAAAACTAACGGCGACCCAAAACTTGAAAAATGCCCGTTTTTCGCAAATAAATGAAAGATGGGATTATTTTAGGTGAATTCTCCCTTTTTCGTTTTTTAATCTCTAACTTTAAATTTAAATGTATTTTTATTTTATTTTTGAGAAATTTACCTAAATACGGCTAAAACATAATGATTTTTCCAATATAGGACCATATGTTTTTATTTCCCAATGTAGGACCTTTGGTCATTATCAAGTAGTCATTATTCAACTAAATATCCATCATTACTGGACATTATTCCTTCCACTAGGTCATTAATAAGTCCTATTTAGGTAATAAAAAAGTTTAAGTCATATATTAGAAAAGTCATTATGTTTTAGTCCTATTTAGTGCAAATTTCACTTTATTTTTTTGAAAAAATATAAAATTTAAGTGTTTTTAGAGTGAAACTAATTGTTTTTTCAATAATCAATAATTTGGTAATAATAAAAAAATAAATTATTCAAACAATAGAGCTAATTTATTAACTTCATACCTAACTACATTTTTTTTGTAAGTTGCATTCACTGTATTTTTCTTGAGCTGCACTTCAAATTATTTTTTGATACTATATTATTATTATTTCTTAAAAAATGACACTACAAAACTTATGAATATTTTTCGATAGTTCTATATAAATATTTTTTGTGAAACAACATTACAATAGTTGTGAAAATAATGCAACAATTTTTTCTCTAAAATAGAACTTTTATTTTTTATAACTCACTACATTTTTTGATGTATTGCAATTTTTTCATGAACACTCTGAAATATTTATTGATAATCTTATATTGCCAATAAAATTTTCTTTCTAAAATTGAACTACCCAATTTGTGATTTTTTTTATAATTCAATACAAATTTTTCTCCAAAATAGTAATTCAAAAGTTGTTAAAATGACACAATATTTTTTCTCCGAAACGGCACTCATAAATTTTATAAATCACTACATTTTTTGTATTTTAATTTATTTCTTGATCGATACTCTAAATTATTTTTGATAATTCAATATTATATTTTCTCAAAACAGAATACAAAATTTGTTAATCGTTAGACAAATCTCTAATAAGAGTGTATTGTTATATTTTTAAAAATATTATTTATAAATTTAAAATTTAAAAAGTAATAAGTAAATTTTCTTAAAATAATCCCAACTTTCATTTATTTGCGAAAAACAGACATTTTCTAAAACTTCCGTTAAGTGGCCGTTAGTTTTTTAATGGCGACCCAAAACTCGCACACATGCGAAAAGATGAGATTATTTTCAATGACAATAAAAGTAGGATTATTTTTTGAAAGAGCACGAAAAGGTGGGATTATTTGAGATAATGGCCTTGTTTGGAACATAGCAGTTGACAGTTGGCTGTTGGTTGTTTATGTTGGCTGGTTTGAATGGCAGATTGAGTTAGCTGTTTTGACCGGCTGTTTCTTTTAGCTGTAAAAAATTAGATGTTTAGCAACTTTAGCTATTTATAGTTAGCAGTTTGTGAGTAAAATTATATATAAGGACATCCCCCTATTTATGTTAATTTGTGTATGATTTTAATTTGATAAAATACACACATTATACAAGAAAATGATTTACATATTTTTTTTCTTGGAGAAAAAAGGCCACTTCGTTTTTTTAAATTTAAGAAATGATAATTTACATTTATATTTTATAAGTTGATTTTTTTGTATTTTTCTCATTTATCATTCTACAAATAACAACCATGCATGATATATTTTATTTTATAATTTTTTAAATATGATATCATAAATATAAAAAAAAAAACTCTACACCAATTTTAAATATGATATCATATATTTTTAATATACTCTCCCCCAGTTTTAATTTTTTAAATATGATATCATATATTTTTTTGTTGGACAAAAAAGGCTACTTCATTTTTTTTAATTTGAGAAATGAGAATTTACATTTATATTTTATAAGTAGATTTATTCGTATTTTTTTCATTTATCATTCTACAAATAACAACCATGCATGATATATTTTATTTTATAATTGTTTAAATATGATATCATAAATATATAAAAATACTCTACACCAATTTTAAATTTGATATCATATTTTTTTAAATATACTCTACGCCAATTTTAATTTTTTAAATATGATATCATATATTTTTTTGTTGAAAAAAAAACGCTACTTCGTTTTTTTAATTTAAGAAATGAGAATTTATATTTATATTTTATAAGTACATTTATTTATATTTTTCTCATTTATCATTCTACAAATAACAACCATGCATGGTATATTTTATTTTATAATTTGTTAAATATGATATCATAAATATATAAAAATACTCTACACCAAATTTAATTTTTTAAAATATGATACCATATATTTTTGTTGTTGGACAAAAAAGGCTAATTCGTTTTTTTAATTTAAGAAATGAGAATTTACATTTATATTTTATAAGTAGATTTTTTTTTGTATTTTTCTCATTTATCATTCTACAAATAAAAACCATGCGTGATATATTTTATTTTATACTTTTTTAAATATGATATCATAAATATATAAAAGTACTCTACACCAATTTTAAATGTGATATGACATATTTTTAATATACTCTACACCAATTTTAATTTTTTAAATATGATACCATATATTTTTTTGTTGGACAAAAAAGGCTACTTCGTTTTTTTAATTTAAGAAATGAGAATTTACATTTATATTTTATAAGTTGATTTTTTTGTATTTTTCTCATTTATCATTCTACAAATAACAACCATGCATGATATATTTTATTTTATAATTTTTTAAATATGATATCATAAATATATAAAAATATTCTACACCAATTTCGGTGCCGTGAGGATCGCAGGGAGACACAACACCAAGAAAAGGGTAGGAAACGGAAAAGGGTTGAACTGCTAAATGAAATGTTGTTAGGGTTGGCATTTCAATTTTTGGATGTTCGGTTCTAAATGCCAATTCCAAAAGCCATTATCCAAACAACTAATTTGGCGGTTTGACTAGTTCAATCCGCCGTTTATGGTCAAAGATGCCAAATGCTAGGTGAACTTCCATTTACCAAACATGACCAATTTTTCCTTAGTTTAAATATTTAGACTTTATAATTTATCCGTTGGTCCTAAATTATTTGTCATAGTTTGATTCTTATGTTAATTTTGACCATAAATTAAAGGAGAAATTACCCAAAATAATCTCAACTTTACCCGGTCTTTAAAAAATAATCCCACATTTCACTGTGATACACAATAATCCCAACTTTATTGAAATTTGCCAGTTTTGGGTCGCCGTTAAGTTTCTAACGGAGGGTTAACGGAAATGTCCGTTTTAGGCAACAAAATGAAAGTTGAGATTATTTTTGATGAATTTTTGTTTTTTAATTTTTTTTGAAATTTTTATTTAAATTTTTTGAATTACTTTCAACCTCCATTTCTTTTTCTTTTTTAAAGATTATTCTTACCTTAGAAAAAATAGATATAGAAAATAATGAAAATGAGAAAAATAACTAAAACCATACAAAATAATCAAATAAATAATGTAATCAATTAAACAGAAACTGGTAAGAAATAAAATAAATATATACGGAGTGGTGGGTTTTAACATTTTACACACTATACAGAATCTTAATGTACTACTTATTTTTAAAAAGAACAAGCCGTCCGGTAAAGTTGGAATTATTGTAGATAATGTTTTCTAAAAAATAAGAAGTGATATGTTAATACTTTGTATAATGCGTAAAATATTAAAACCCACCCGTATATTTTTATTTTACTTTTACCAATTTCAAGTTAGTTTCCATTGATTACCTTATTTATTTTATTATTTTTATATCATTTTAGTTACATTTCTCATTTTTTCATTTTTTATATCTATTATTTTTATTTTTTAAACTAAGACTAATCTTTAAAAAAAGAAAAATAAATGATGATGGGGGTAGAAAGTAATTTAAAAAATTTAAATGAAAAATTTTAAAAAAATAAAAAAAATGAAAATTCATCAAAAATAATCCCAACTTTCATTTTGTTGTCTAAAACGGGTATTTCCGTTAACCCCGTTAGAAACTTAACGGAGACCCAAAACTGGCAAATTTTAGTAAAGTTGGGATTATTATGCATCACAGTGAAAGATGAGATTATTTTTGAAAGACCGGGTAAAGTTGAGATTATTTTGGGTAATTTTTTCCTAAATTAAATATAATTTTAAATACATAAAGTTATAAATATTTAACTGTCTATAACACTTTCTTGATACATTAAAGATTGAATAAATGTAGAAAATAAAATACTCCGTATATATGATGCAAATTATAATGAATCACAAAATCAATACATATCCATTTATATCCCGAATTATTATTGATCGAAAATGGAAAAATTTCCTAAAAAGTGTATTCTTTTATTATGTGCATTGCTAATTAAATTTAAAATTCAAATAAAAAAATATACTTACATAGGTAGACATATATTTTTACTATTTATAATGGTAATATTATTTATTTATAATTTTTAGAATTTTTTTCTATTTATTATATTCTTCTTAAATTGTAAAACTAATATATTTCCGTACAATGCACGGGTGAGATAGTAGTTGTACATAGTAGTATATTAAAACTCATTATTTAATTGGAATAGTTACCAATAAATTGGATTATTGACCTGATTCAACCGGTTAACTCTTGATCTACTCACT